GTTGTCAACGCATAGAAAAAAAATCATCTCAATCAGAATTAAAACGAAAAAGTTATAACATTTTTAATAATAGAAAAAAATACTATTTATTAATTTGAGTTCGAGTTTCTAAATTCGAGTTGAAAGAGAAACTTGAACTCAAGTTTTAATCTCAAACTCGAATTTAAATTTAAAAGAACATGAATTTAAATAAAATTATAATTTAAGTTACTTTTTTTTAATTTTTGACTTATTTTTTTTTAATTTTTGACTCAAAATACTCCAAGCGAACAATGCCTTTGGCCCAAAATCTGTGCCGTTTGCAGATGAGTTATTTACGTTGAATGCCATGGAAAATCCCGGTGAATCGACTTTTACCGGAAGCCCCCAAACCCTCTCATTTAAAGCCATAACTCAGTATAGCGTTCTAGCCATCTCTTCCTCGCGCGATCTCCCCCATGACACCCACTGATGTCGTCGTGTGGATGCGATCTCTCCCTGGAGCTGCGCAAAGGAGAACGCCTGTGAGATCTCCTTCGCGTGAGGGGAGATCTAAAGATCTCCGCTTGCGCTGTGGTGTCCATACAAAGCGCCGGCAAGATCTTCGGGGGAGATCGATGGCTACACTTTCTTTTTAATTCTGTATGGATTTGTGGACTTTGTCAAGTGTTTTGTGCTTTTCTTTCTTTTTTTTTAATGATTTTTTTTTTTTCTAAATTTTTAGGTATCTTAGTGATCATGAAGGTTTCAACGCCACCAATATTGGCGGTTACTGGCAGTTTATGATTTTCAAGTGTTCCGGTTCCGGCTACGGGAATGGTCATGGTGCCGCCAATGTTGGTATCGTCTTGGATATCCACCAGTATAGTGGCGGATACTGCTATCTAGATGGATACTAGCGGTTACCGATCGGTAACCGGATGGTATCACGGCGGTCACTGGTCATCGGCGGTTGTCCGTCGATTATTGGTATCACTAGCACGCCTTGACCTCACTCCCGCCTTCGGCAGCATCTCATTTTAAGCAATATTTCCAAAAGATTCTCGTCTGTTAACATAGATTCGAAAAATACATACTAAGAACTGAGACTTGATCACGAATCTGCAGTAAAAATGGAAACTCAGATTTTTCTGATCTTAATCGAACCATAATATATAGCCGAGTGTCTTGCTGTCCGACCCCGTGCTGGACTGGAGTTTGTGCGTGCAGTTGGCCTCCAAGCTGCTATCATGGAATCAGATGCTTCAAATGCAGTGGATGCAGTCAATAAGTTTTCTAATGCTGATGTTTCTAGTGCTATAGCTTTGATTGTTAAAGATATCAGAGAGTATCTTCTAGCCTCTGGTGGTGTGTGCTTAACTATGTTTCCAGTGAGGGAAATCAAGTTGCCCATTATCTGTTGGCTAAGTTTGCTTTTTCATCTTCTGTTTCTTTTAGGAGCATTGAGGCTGCTGATCCTCTTTTGTAGGCTGACCGATTTGGCCCCTTAATAAACAACACTTTCCCCCCCCCTTTTTTTTTAAAAAAAAAAAAAAAAAACCCCAAATATCACAAGGATTTTTAATAGTACTAGTAGTAATAGAGTTGCAATAGGACATAAGTTTGAGAAATATTAATCTTATGAAGCATATAAATATGTTCTAATTATACTCTAATCTGCCATATTTTATCAATAGCTTAAAAGATGTAAGGGCAAGAAAAGAGAGTTGAAAAGATAGAGCATAATAATTTTCAAATAACGATGAATATGCTGGACGTGAAACGGTGAAAGTGATTTCATAGGCAAGTTTATTATCTACCTTTCTTCGGTCTCATGCTTATTAATAAGACAAACGTTGTGACTTGTGAGAACAAAATAGAGCCGAATTTCCAACAACAAAAAAAAATAGAGCCAAAATAAATAATAACAAAGTAAAAAGCAAAAAAGAGATTTTTTTATAAGTAAGAAAAAAGATAAACATTAATAAAGTAATATGAACTTGGAGATTTACCATGAAAATTTGTGTGTTTTTTTTTTTCTTATTAATACAAACTTGGTAAATCTAGAATTTATCATGTAAATTTAAAATTTACGATCAAATTTTTAACTTTTTCCCTATTAATATGAACTTGGTAAATCTAGAATTTACCAGATATATCTGTGATTTACTATTATATTCTTCATTTTTTCCTTGTAATACAAACTTAGTAAATCATAGATTACCAAGTATATACGGGATTTACTATTAGATTTTTCATTTTTCCCTCGTAATATGAACTTAGTAAATCTTGGATTTATCATGTATATTCATAATTTACCATTAAAATTTTCACATTTTCTCTACTAATACGAACTTGATAAATCCAAGATTTACTAAAAATATTTGGAATCTACCATTAAAATTTGTAGTGTACTTTTTTCTACTAATATGAACTTGGTAAATTCATGATTTATCAGATATATCCACAATTTACCATTAGATTTTTTACTTTTTCCATATTAATACAAACTTGGTAAATTCTGGATTTACTATTAGAATTTATACATTTTTTTCCTAGTAATATGAACTTGATAAATCCAAAATTTACTATTAGAATTTGTACTATTCTTTTTTGAGTGATTTTAATGTAGTAAATCCTATATATATATATATATATATATGTATGGATTTATCAAGGAAAAAGAAAAAAAATAAAAAAAATGGTAAAATTAGAAAATAAAAATTGAAAACATGAAATGGTCTATTAAGTTCTATAAGTTGGTAAATTGGCTTTTTACTTCCATAAGTATTAAATGTAGAGCTATTTCTTACAATTTTTCACAAATATAATAGATAGATTTAGCCCTTGTTTGGTTCACTCATTTGAATTTTGTTGGTTTGAACTTTTTTATTTGAACAGAAAAATTCAAGTGTAGTTTCAATTGTAGTTCGAATTAGTGTTTAGATGTGCAAATTCTAATTTGTGTTTGGTAGGTGTGAAAAACATAGAGAGTGAGTATCGTTTTACTGTTTAAAAATGGTTTGAACGGTTGAACTCAGTGAGAGTTAAACTCTAAGTTGAATAGTTTAATTCACTTCAAATATGGAATATAATTCGAACTGTATGCTTAGCAAACATGAGTTCAAATTACGCATACCATTCGAATTGAGTTGAATTAAACTAAACAAGTAAAACAAACACGGGCTTAGCTTCGCCTAAAAGAGAAAATTACAGATTCTACCTACTTAAGTACCATACTTATTAAAAATACCTCTTTAAAAAAAACATATTCTACCCCTTAACTAGTTCTAATCTAAAAGATAGAAATTTATGAGTTAATGTTAAGGGGTAAAACTAAAAGGGCTCTATTTAAGGAGTAGTTTTAAAAATTACCCTTTGTAAAAACATTATTTTACTATAATTTCTGTAAATAATAAAAGCTAATAGGCTTTTAACAACTAAAGTCTAGTCTATGTAGGGATGTCAATAAGACGGGACAAAATGGTGCTCGCCCACATAGTTTTGAGACATGGGCCGGGCGGGTTGCAACACGCTCATGTGCGGGTTGCAACCCGCTCATGTGCGGGTCAGGGTGGAGCAGGTCAATTGCAACTCGCCCTATTACATTTAATAAAAAAAAAAAAAAACTTTTGAGTGAAGCTTTTATCCAGCTTTAGCCATAGAAATTTTCCCTCATTTTCTCAAGTCCCAAATAGAACGGATTTCTTGAAAAAAAAAAAAAAAGAAGCAAAAGTGGAACACGTGTGTGTGGATATTCTAGTGAGAGGAAGAAGACTAGATACTCTTAAAAAAAAAAAGAGTCACAAACTCATTTTCTACTGAATAATTTTCGTAGTTTTTTCTTTTTCTTTTTCGACATTTCCCTTATGGCTTGGATTGGAAATAGTACTGAAATTTTGGACGGGCCGTCCGTGACCACTGAAAAGTCTGAATTTTTACCCGATGACTGAGCTCGAACTGCTTGAATTTTCGGGCTGCCCGACCGACCTGAATTTTGTCCTTGGACGGGCATTGGCCAGCCTTTGGCTGCCCGAGCCCGGTCGGGCTGCCTGTTACCCGACCGAAATGCCTGAATTTTTAAATATTTTTTATATTATATATATATATTACAATTTGAAATGAATGCACGAACTATATAAAAAAATTATTTTTTTATTGATTTTTAAATTTGTAATTCATGATTGTCTCGTTAAAAACCTTACTAAGAAAAACCCAATTGGGATAAAAACTTAGTAAGGAAAAAAGAGTGCAATCATTGTGGGACGAATTACAAATTTGACGAACTTATAAAGTCTATACAAGATTACAATAACACTATATAAAGAAAATAAATATTTACAAATTACAATAATAAAATTTAATTTGAAGCAGAAGGATCGTCTTGAAAATTAAAAGTTAATCTATTAAATTCGTCGATCCATTCTTGGCTTGCCGGTGAGATTGTATCGTGTAAGCGTTGGTCGAAATGATCCCAATCCTTGATGTACATCAAAGCTTCAACAGTATCCTATTGCAATGTGTTTCTCTGTTCTTCAAGTATTCGGCAGGTTGTACTGTGAAATTTGGGCATTCGGGTCGGGTCGGGCAAATTCGAGCAACGGTCTTAAAAATAGCCGTTGGGGTTTGAAATTCAGGCAAATTTTGGGCGGTGGTCAGGTCAGGCAAAAAAGAGCCGTTGGGTTTAAAATTCGGGCAGAAATGGCTAACGGTCAAAAAAATTCAGGCATATTCGGGCAACGGGTAAAATTTGGGCTAACGGTCAAAAAATTCGGCAAAATTTAGGCATATTCGGGAAAATTCGGGTTACGCGGTAAAATTCAAAAAAAAAAATCCGGCAGGTGGCGAGATCGACTCTTCTACCGGCGGCGGGCAGCCGGAATGGATTTTTTTTGGGCTGCCCGAGCCCGTGCCCGACTAAAATGGTCGAACGGGCGGCGAATGGCGCCTGCCTGCCGTGCCAAAAAATTTTCAAGCATCGGGCATGCTCGCCGCCTGAAATTTCAGCACTGATTGGAAACAACCAGAATATAACGCTATTTCTCTCTCTTTTTTCTTGTGTGTATTGTTAAAAAATAATTTTCAGAATTTTAATTAATGTAAGTTTTTTTGGTTTTTTAGTTTCAATAATTTAATTAATGCATCTCTAAGGGAGCTTTCTAAATTGTAGTTAAATTTTAGTTAAAATGACTAGAAAGCTATTTTAGCTAGTAACTTTTTACTAAGTTACTCTAACCATATTTTCTATTTTAACTAAACATGAATTATTTTAATATTCTTTTGAGGTTAAAATATGAATAACTTTTTTTTAACTTTTACTTTACGTCAAAATAAGAAATAAAATAATAAAAATTAAAAATAGTTAGCTACTTCTTGCTAGTTATATTTAGATAGTAAAAAATGCTTTAGTTAAAATAGTTAACTATTTAGTTAATAGTCGGAGTGGAGAAAAACTAAAAAAAAAAAAATTAAATCATTAGTTATTTTGGTTAAAAATATAAAATAATTAATATGATTAGAGTTGTTTTAAGTTGTTGAACCTTGGACATTGTTGTCCTGATGTTTCCCATTACTAAATTCATTTAATGCATTTCTACAATATTTTCTATGTTGTTTTCTTTTCTCAAGGTAATAAAAATTGCCTTCTGATATGCCCAGACAATAGAAAAACATTATAAGGTTCTTTTATAACTCAAATTGATAATTTAAATTATGTATGTGAGAAAAAAATATTATAATAAAGAAAATTTTAAATTTTAATAAAAAAAAAACTGTAACAACAACCCATATGTCGTCCTTTACTTTTTTCTATGAGTTTCTCTCCATTTTCATTCTACCTAAAAATTTATCATATATATATATATATATATATATAAGTATGTATATATGTACACACACGTGGAATCTGATTTTGGTTTCCCTCAATGTATTAGTTAATAGAGAAAAATTTCAGGCCCGTTTAGTTTACTGATTCGAGTTTTTAATTTGAGTTGAGATATAACATTATGTGAAAGTTTTTTATTGTAATAAAAAAATTAAATGTGACTGTTTCTGAGAGCTTTTTACTGTAACAAAACTCGAATCGACGAAATAAACAGGACATTATTATACAAAATGACATTTTTTTTTAATGGAGCGGCGGGTCGGTCGAAAGCCCGTCCCGACCCGCCCCATTGACACTCTAAGTTAAGGGCGAAGTGGATAAACGATAAGAAACGCGTCGAGATCGTAGGGGTCCCATAATGGTGACTGCATGTTGGCCAGGTGTCACTGACAATTCTCATTTCATGTTTCTTTATTTATATTCCTTTTTTTTTTTTTGAGGATATTTTTCTTCCTCCTTCGTTCGTTTGGTAAATATGAAATGAAACTTATGAAACTTCCCAATCATTAATCATTAATGTCCTTCTAAAACAAAACTAAAACCGTTCTCGCCCTTTTTTTTTTTTTGAGGATATTTTTCTTCCTCCTTCGTTCGTTTGGTAAATATGAAATGAAACTTATGAAACTTCCCAATCATTAATGTCCTTCTAAAACAAAACTAAAACCGTTCTCCCCCTCTATTTCTCTCACTGCACGGCTATGGCGGTTTCTCTCTCTTCCCTCCGAATCCCCCCCAAGCCTCCTTTCTCTCTCTAGAAACCATAAACCTCCTTCACTTTTCATTTCGTTTTTTTAGGGACTTAAAAACTTTTTTTTTCCGTATCGATATATACATATACGTAGATATTTGCGGATGTGGTTTTTCTGTGTGAAATCCCCAAATTGACCTCCTCAACAACCGCCGCCGATGGCGATCGTCACCGGAGATCGGTACCTGGAGAAGCTGGTGAGGTTCGTGGAGGAGAACGCCGGCCCTCTGATCGATGGAACCCTAGTTCTGAAGCTCAATCCGGTGGGGCTACATTACGTGCAGTCGCGGCTCGAGGCGCTCAGCGAGCTCGAGAGCCTCCTCGCGGGAGCTCCAATTGATTACCTCCGCGCCTACGTCTCCGACCTCGGCGACCACCGCGCGCTCGAGCAGCTCCGCCGGATTCTCCGCTTACTCACGTCCCTCAAGGTCGTTTCGGTATTGGCGCCGCCGGCGAGGGACCCCACGCCTCTCTCGCTGTTGCCGTTTGGGAGGTTGAGACTTTTGGAGCTCAGAGGTTGCGATTTGTCCACCTCCGCCGCCAAGGGATTGCTCGAGTTGAGGCACACGTTGGAGAGGATCGTCTGCCACAATTCTACTGTGAGTTCTTTCGTTTTTTTTTTTTCTTGTTTTGTTTTGTTTTTTTCCCCTCGTTCGGTTTCTGCTTTTTACGGTCGGTTTAGTTCCGGAGAAAATAGGAGAGAAAAGGCGTGAAATTGGAGTTCGAAGGAGTCCGTTATGTTTCACTGGTTACGTGAATGGAAAATTGAAATTTGAGGTTTCAACGTTAAGCATTTATTGTGCGTGAATTTACTGTGTATTTACTCTCTCTTTTCTGCAGCAATAAGTTCGTGGTTTCTTACCGTTTATTTGGTTTTTGAGAAAATGAGGAGAAAGCAAAGAAAGTAGAGTATGGAATGCGTTTTGTTTCACATGATACGCAAAAGTATTGAGTGGTTTTGAATTTGTCAAAGGAAATTGCATAAGGGTATTAAATTGCACTTCTAGTTAAGCCCCAATTTAGTTAAGGTTTTGGTTTTGGTTTTCTTTCTTATTACGTGGGAAATCTGGGATTTGAATGTTAATAAGTTATTTTTTATGCATTTATTTTGAAATTGCATAAGGAAGTGGGATTTGCTTCTTTTTTTCTTTTAAGGAATGTATTGCTTTTTTATTCTCTCTCGTTTTTACCACAAGTCTCAATTTATGTCATCGTGCATCATCTTATGTTAGGAACCTTAGTTGGGGGAGAGCATTTGTAGATTGTTAGTAGTGATTAGAGGAGAGCTAGTAGCATAAAAGAGAGGGATTAGTTGTTAGTAAGGGAATGTCGGTTTTGTAGAGTTTTGGGAAATGTTTTGGGCTTGGGAAATCAAGATGGAGAGTTAGATAGTCTCTTCCTAATTGTTCTATCAGTACTTATCATCAATAATAATTCTCTTTCATTCAAATCCTATTGTTTAGATCAGGTTTCTAACATTTTTGGTATCAGAGCAACGATCATGGCACCTAAACCAGTTGGCGGAGAGAGAGTAGCAGCGGTTGAGAAGGGCTTGGCAGCGGTTGAGAAGGAGGTGTAAGCGCTGACCTCTGGCCAGCTTCCCCAGCTCTGGGAGGAGGTGAATGGGCTGCGAACTGAGCTGGGAGCTCAGATCGGGGAGGTTTGATCAGCTGTTTGGAGGCACTGTTGGAGCAGTGGGGACCGCCGGCTAGGGTGGATAACGTTCGCAATGGCGGGAGACAGGAGGACCAAAATGTTAGAAACTTGATCTAAACAATAGGATTTGAATGAAAGAGAATTATTATGGATGATAAGCACTAATAGAACAATTAGGAAACCCTAATTGAGATTTTGTTCGAGAGACCATCTAACTCTCCCGTCTTGGTTTCCCAATCCCAAAACAATTTCCAGAACTCTACAAATCCGACATTCCCTTACTAACAACTAATCCCTCCCTTTTATACTACTAGCTCTCCTCTAACCACTACTAACAATGTACAAATGCCCTCCCCCAACTAACGGTTCCTAACACATTATATTAAATGTGAGAGTTAATTTCTAGGCTCGCAATTAAGTTTTTGTGTTTGTGATCTCTTGGTACGTTAGGATGCTTTACGGCATGTCTTTGCAAGTAGGATTGCTGAAATAAAGGACTCTCCACAGTGGAATCGGCTTTCGTTTGTTTCATGCGCGTGCAATGGCATGTTGCTCATGGATGAGTCTTTGCAACTTCTACCTGCTGTTGAAACTCTTGACCTTAGCCGTAACAAGTTTACGAAGGTTGATAATCTCCGCAAGTGTGCCAAACTGAAACACCTTGATCTTGGCTTCAACCACCTTAGAACAGTTACATCATTTAGCGAGGTAAGGAATTTTAGTTGTCTGACATATTGCCACCTGCTTGATTGCTTTTTAGTTTTATGACTTCTGTCTTTGTTGTTCAAGATTAGCATTATCACTTCCTTCAAAGCTTCTTTTGTTGTTAGTTTTAGGTGAAGTGGGAAAAAGGAAAAACATACATTAATCTATTTTGCAACAAAACCAAGAAAGCTTAACTTGAAAACTCTATGTTGGTTGCCGAGTAAATGGAGCGTGCTCTCAAATAGGCTTGGCTTGCTAACCATGGAATAGGAATAGGAGTTTTACTTCTGTTCTATCAGATTACCTCATTAGCGATTCCCAAACTGCATGGTCATTTCACCATGCATTTCACATAATTACAGTATTCGAGCAATTTTCCCTCCTTATACCTCATCTCCTTTTGATATGTAACTGCTTTTTTCTGATTTACCTGAGCTGTAAGATTATCCATCTGAGAGTGTTCTACACCGTTTTATGGAAGAAGTTTTTAAATTGCCCTAACATAGAATGACATACAGCAAACTTGAACTTGTCGAAGTCCTAATGGTTTCTGCTTTTTCTGATTTGCCTGAGCTGTAAGATTATCCATCTGAGAGTTTTCTACACCGTTTTATGGAAGAAGTTTTTAAATTGCCCTAACATAGAACGACATACAGCAAACTTGAACTTGTTGAAGTCCTAATGGTTTCTGCTTGTAGTTTACGGAGTTCATTTGTTTATATATTATTTATTCCATACCAAGAGGTTTTTTATTTTTTAACATGTTGTGGGGCCTATAGCTTTCACTTTACTAACAAGAAATGAAACCATCGTGATACGAACCTTGCAGCACACTCACGCATCCAACCATTTGAGCTACAAACCATGTGTTGTTTCCTCCCAATCCCCACTAAAAATTCCAAGATGGTTGGACCTTAGACATGATCTACAAGGCATACAATGTGGATTTTATGAGTTTTCTATCATTATGAGATGTCATAGGTGTCCCCAGTATTCGGTTCTTAGCATCCCAAAGGAAATTTCTGTGATGGTTTAAAAATAACTTTTATTTTTGAACAGAAACTATTTGGTAAAACTTTTGATTGTTGAGAATAACCTTTTTGCCTTTTGATATTGAGGAAAGTAACCTGTGTCATTGAACGAATGATGTCAGGTTTAATGATTCCACTTTGCGACGTGACAGGTTTTATGATTTCAGTTCCAAATCTCTCTCTCTCTCTCTCTCTCTCTCTCTCTCTCTAATTTAGGAATTAGATTGGACCCATCCATTGATGTTGTTGGACTATGCAGGTTTCCTGTCATATTGCTAAACTTGTTTTGAGGAACAATGCTCTAACTACATTGCATGGGATTGAGAATTTGAAGTCACTTGAAGACCTTGATGTTTCCTACAACATTATTTCCAATTTTTCAGAGTTAGAATTCCTTGTGGGACTTCCATCTCTACAAAGCTTGTGGTTGGAGGGAAATCCTTTATGCTGTGCCCGATGGTATCGACCACAAGCATTCAGCTACATAAATCATTTAGAGAATGTAAGTCATTTATATATTTGGTTTTTGGATATTATGATCTTCTTTGTTTCTTACTGTTAAACCACTCTTCTTTTCTTTTCTTTCCTTTTCTTTTCTTTTCTTTTCTTTTCTTTTCTTTTTTTTTTTTTTTTTTTTTTTTTTTTTTTTTTTTTTTTTTTTAACTACCGGCTTTGTTTTGTATTTGAAGTGCATATGTTCTCCAACTTACAAATGTCTTCTTGTTGTATGTTTTACTAGTTCAAGCTGGATGATAAGGAAATTAGCACCAGAGAATTTTGGAAGAGGCAGCTTATAATTTCCAGCAGGCAGAAGCGACCTGCCAGCTTTGGGTTTTATTCTCCTGCTATATGTGATGACACAGGAGAGGGGTCTAACAACAGAAGACGGGTATGTTATTTCTATAGATACTTGGGTCCTGCACTCTTTCCGGTTCATAGGGTAGAGTGAATATGCCTGATCTTTTGTGCTTAAGGTGTATATCCCTCTTCTCTTGTAATGTATTTGTAATGGATTGGATTACTGTATTGTTGCTTCTTATAATTTTAATTGTTCTTTTACATCCTTCATTATGTAGATTATTTTCTTCATCTCATTATTACCATGTTCGACAGTTTTAAACCCATGTAATTTCTTCTATGCAGAAGAAGGTAACTCGTCTTGCTTCAATTGAGGGTGAAGGAGAAAACACCTATCTATGTTCGGATCAGGATTCTGTATCAATTGATAATGAGGTTCAAAGCAGGGAGGAAATTGTCATGTCTGATGATGATGCTGAAATAGTTGATTTAATGAATAAAGTTGAGCTAATGAAGAAGGAACGTTCTGTTCTTTGGTTACGGGAATTTAAGGAATGGATGGATCATGCTCACGAGAATGTCATGGACCACAACAAATATATCGGAACTACGTTGTATCCGGGGAGAGAGAATTTATCAAAGACCTGGGTAAGTGAGAGGAATGTCAGCGAAAGCTTGCGATATGTCTCGGACTCTGTCCAAGCTTCAGGAGATGAGAGTAGCACAAATGTTATGGAATCTGATAGTTCCTTGCATTCACATCAATACATTGACCAAATTGGTTTGATGGGAGTTACTGGTGGAGCTAACCCAAGTGGCTCGGGGAGAACAGATCTTAAGGAGGAACATGTAAAATCCTCTCCTTATGAAAGGAGTAGCAGTTTGCCTGCTCAGACTAAAAGCTTACTGGCCGATACGTTTGCCAATCAATTAAGTTTTAGGAGCATATCCCCATTGATTGCCATTGATAGTATTTCAGAATCACATTCCTCTGCTCAGCCTGGATCACCACCTCATTATCGAGAGGATATTCTTCATCGCCGTCAATACTTAGAGGAAGAAATTCTGCAATTATCAGCAGAGTCATATTCGGTGGCATCATCTGATAGCAATACTAGCTGCAGTGATGATGATATCTGTGCCTTTGGGCCAATGTCAGATATTGATCAGTTACTAAATGAAAAATGTTCCAATGCAATTGTTGAGAGGCATCCTGGTTTAAAACCTTTTGAAGACGAGTATTATGAGAGGAGACATCGGATTTCTCCTGTAAGAGAAAATGGGCAATGTTCGGCTGATCCCTCTTCCAACAAAACCTCTGATATGCAGAATAGTATAGATTCCGACAGGCAGACATGTGGCAATGATGGTCCTGAGGCTCATGATTGTAAGATTACACATGTCCTCAATGAGGAGGATGATTTGCCAAACAAGAGAAAAGGAAAGAGAAAAACAAAAAGAAGAGTTGTTTCATTAGTGGAGGAGAAAAATGCTGTTGGAAAGATAGTAACACCCCAAAAATCAAATGGAGACTTTGACCTTCATGGAACAGAAGCGGAAATAGAGCAACATAGTCGATCTTTTGACAGAAGTGATCTTCAAGAAGTTGATGAAAAGAAACAAATTATACCAAGTATTGTTATAACCCAACGAAATGAAGATGCTCATAGGTCTCCCTCGGTTAACTGGTCATGTAGAGAGATTGATGATTTTATTGAGGATCATTTCAATTCAAACGTTGCAGATTCAAGAAATCATGAAATTTGTGTGCAGTATATGCGTTGCCACTGTATACTTGAGATGGATTCCATGTCCACTGAAAGGTGACATTTTTATTACTAAAATTTATCAAGTATGATGTATAATGTAAAGAGTAGGAGCTCTGTTTCCTGAAATTTCAAGAAGATGTCGGTGTATATAAAATTATCTGCTGATGTTTTTACTTGAGATAGATTTTAAATGTTGTTGTATCTTCTAGATTTTTCTTATGTAAAGCTTGTAAGTTATTAATTGCTCTATCCTTTTCTTTTCACTGGCTTTGATGTTGCAATTCCCTGTCATGTTACACTGAGAGAATTAGTTTGTCCAAGATAATTCGATTGGTTTCTTAAGTTCTAAAGGTCTTTTATTTTGTTGCGGGCCTTTATCAATTCTTACTTGCTGTTGCTATTAGTCTTTTGAACAGGAAACATAAGTATTTTTGTTTAACAAATTTGATTTATTTAATTGTCTGTTTGTAGTTTAGTGATGTATTTAGGACATTGCCTAGTTCTAATATTCCTATTACTAGGCGTCTTCTTATGACTTAGAGAATTGTGCAAAGATTTTAAATCTTCCTGAAGTCAATTTCTTTTTGTTTCACGTGCAGAGATGTAGCTCTAGTACTGAGCAGTGAAAAGAAGTTGTATGTGTTACTTATTGGTGCCACAGATGATGGATCAGGTTGGTCGTCAAGTTTTTGTAAGATTGATAGGTTCCGTTGGTGGTTTCCCCTTTTATATATTAGGTGAAGACTTTTCTCCTCTTAGTTGTTTAGAATTATGATTGCTGAAGCTCACTATAATGATGTGCAGAAACCATCTCGAGTTTCCTGGCTTGCCATAGGATTGAAGACGTCAGGGAAGTTTTAGTTGGCATGGGACTTCAGGTTGTGAGGTCAGTGAGTTTCACTACTTGTAGCAATCACAGATATTCACTTCTCTAACGATATGTTTATATGTATGTGGTTGAGTCAGGTTGTCAATTGAGCGTTCAGCCTACCTGTTTATAACACGAAGTATCGGAAAATCAAGACAGTTACTTTGCATCTTAGAAGTTCTTTACTCATACAAAGCAGATGATATTTCTTTAAGAAGGTGGTCTATCCATTTGCTTTCAAATACAAGTTCAAAACTCGCAAGTCCGTTCTATGGCTTTGAATTTTACCCTGCATATATTATTTCCTTTGTTATGACAGACTGGGTTTTGGAAATTTAAATGGCAGTTTGGAGCAGGTTCAGGTTGACTTGTTTGAGAAACAAATACTTGGTGGTTCAAAAGTAAGCATATTCCAGTATGCTTTGGTACTGTTTTGGCATAACAACCATGAAGGTTTGCTCCAAACTTTTTTATCTTATTAAATTTCTTTGTCCCAACAATGATTTTAACTGTGATAAATGTCTTCTAGCATAGGATAAGTACAATGGTACAGTTCCGTTAGTAGAAAAAGGGAATGACCATCTCAGGAAACATGATAAAATTTTCTTTTCCAGGGTAGTAGAATTCTCCTGGACGTTGCCTTCTGTAGTATTATTCATATCTTATAGTGGTGTTGGTCTTCTTTAACCTTCATATGCTTCTGACAGTAGCTAAGGTACTGTTTGGATTCTTTGAAACAAAGAAAAGGAAATAAAATAAAAGCTGAAGAATGTCCATACTTAGAGCTATGCCAGTGGTATCTTTTTTGTTTAATCTTTTAATAGCTATGCGTGTTGGAGTTTATAGACAATTGTTTTTCAAGTGCATTTTAATGATGATTAATGTTTGTGTGGTTGTACAATTCTTTCCGAGTCTGCATTTTGTATTCCTGAAGCATGCAATACCTGTTATATTTCTTTTATTTATTCACTTATTTTTGCACTTTTTGACTATGAGTCTTTCTTGTTTCTTAACGACTAACGGATGCTGTATTCAAACTGGACAGAGGATTCATGGCTTCCAAGATCATTGTTTGTTGTTGGAGTGCATCTTCTTGTGTGTGTTGAAGACCTAGTGAAGTTTAGCTCCCTTTTGGTTGATACATCTTCGTCCCTGTACTTCTCGTTCGATTCATGTTGTTCAATCACTGACATATCTGAGATGGTAAGTCCAATCATTTACCCAAAATTTTTTTGTTTTTCCCCGTTCTTTTGCCCCTCGTTTAGGTCAACATTACAATTTAAAAGAGCAGGAGAATAAGTATTTTCTGGTTTCCTTTTATATTATCGTAACCATAACTTAATTCAACACATGCATGTATACCCTGTTTTTTTTTCTTGCTTCGAACATGATTTTATGTTCAATTACGGGATGCCAAAATACCAAGTAAATTTTTGTTTCACACCATTCTTTTTTTCCTTCAATAACTGAGAAACAGCGTATTGTCTTATGTTGTATGCTTTTAATTCCGTTTCCTTTAAGGGAAAGTAGTTAAAACAGGTTGGAACTGATTTGCAATTTTGTGTGTCGGTAATCACTTAAGTTTTACTTCTAAATTAAAAAATACATTTCTAAAAATTATTGCGCAGGTCCGTTATAGGCAGACCTCGGTGTATAACAATTATGAACAAAATGTATGAACATTTATATGACGCATCTATCTGAACATGAATTCCAGGTTGTTGAGACCAAGAAGAGTCAGTGTGTGACTTTAGCTTTTTCATGTGCAACACCAGTTTGTCATTCCTCTGCCAAATCTGGCAAGGAGGGTGAAGGGATGGATAAGGAAAAGAAAACTTTAGGCTCTCCTACATGGAAGCTCAAGTGGTTCTCTGAAGACTGTCTGTTCAAGTTTGTAGCATTGTTGAAGGCAATCCACGCAGGGACGGGCATGTCACCTTTGTCTGTAAGATGCATCTAATGAAGCTGTTCATTTCCTAAACCCCGTTAACATCTCCTTTTTGTTAGTTTTAAATTCATTTTATTCGTTGATTTGTTGTCGTTTTTCACCCGCTTCTATATTTTTATTCCTTTCTGTCCTCTGATCATAGTTTTCTTTATGGTATTCTTTGATTTGTATTCTTTGGCAGCAGTGTGTCTGTTATGTACAGATTTTGTATAGTTTGTAACGGCGAAGCAAATTCACGTTGATCATAATAGTCTTTTTCCGCAGTTTGCCCCATCCTTCTATTTCAATTCTTAGCTTTGGTTCATCCGACTTGTAGATGTTTTCTTCTTGTATTTGCATTTTCCAACTTCACGCTTTGGTTCATCCGACTTGTAGATGTTTTCTTCTTGTATTTGCATTTTCCAACTTCACACTATGTTTGGTTGGAGGGAGGGATAGAGGGAGGGATGGAGGGAGGGAGAGGGGTGGAAGGAGAGAGATGGAGGGAGAGATGCAATCCCTTGTTTGATTGGAGGGAAGAGAGGAGAAAGAGAGGGGAGATGGAGAGACGTGCTCTTCCTCTTAATCCGCCAAATTGAATCTTTCCACTAACGGTAGGATTCATGCAATCCACTAATTTTTACTTTTAAAAGATTATTTTACCATTCAAAAAAAAATTGTTAACAAATTGCACAAATGGATAACATAGTAATTAAATAAATAATTATTATTTATTATTCTAACTCTCTATTTTTATTAAACAATATAAAATATTATTATAATCTTATTCAATTTTCATATTTCTTATTTTTTCAACTCTCTATCGTTATCGTTCTTATTCTGTCTCTCATATCAAACGAAGTTTCAGTCCTTCGCTCCACCAACTGAGCTAAGGCCGGATTGCTTTATTCTTGTATTTGTTTTGAAAATGGTGAAATGTACTTTATGTGGTATTTTATAAGTTTCGTTCATTTCGTCGATTTGAATTTTTTTATAGTAAAAAGTTTTAAAATACAGTCACATCTAACTGTTTTGTTACAGTAAAAAACTCACATAACGCGCTACCATTTTCCTTGAGATTTTATTTACAATTTTGAAGAGGACAACAAGAAGTTTGAAACTTTTGTACTTCAGCGTGTTCTTCTTTTAGAGAGAGAGAAAAAAAGAAATGGATACAGTCTCTCTTTCTGTCGGAAG